AATTGGAAAGCCCAAAATCAATGGAGGAAACTTTTTTCAACATATTTCAAAAAATTAAATAAATGAGTAGGTATTAGGTAGGGGGAAAGAGGTGCTCTCATGTTGCCAGTGTGAGTATAAACAGATACATCCTTTCTGCAAAGCAATCTGGCAAAATATTGTAAGTCTTCAAGTATTATCATCTCCTTTACCTGGAATTCTACTGTTTTAACTCTACCCTAAGGGGAGAATCAGAAATATGATTAAAGATTTATGTACAATTGGTAGAATATTTGATAAAAAATTGTGTGCATGCATGTGTGTGTATGTGTGTGTGTGTTGCAGATTAAGTGATAAAATCATGCAATGTCTGGAATTTGTTTCAAAATAAACTAGGCCAAGAGAAGAAAAATGGACTGAAGCTAGATGATGGATACCTGTAAGTTTATTTACCATACTTCCATTCTAAAAGGTCTAAAAATATTTAGTAAAAAGATGATTCTATCAAGCATTATTTATTATAGTGAAAAATATGGTGTTCCATGAGATAAAATAGGCAGCCATTAAAAGGATGCTTTTGAGAAAAATTCAGAACATGGAAACTGTTCTCAGAGTAATGTAAGCAGGGACATAAAACCAATAAAACTTTATTATTATGTAAAAAGATTTTAAGGGGACACAGCAAAATGTTAATAACAGGATTGTGGCAGTTTTTATTTTCTTGTTTATGTTCTTTGTAATTTTTTGCTTTAGGCAGATACCATTTATACTCAGAAAAAAAATAAATTTACAGAAGACAACAGTCCCACAACCTATTATTGTCACTGTCAGAGGTGGGATACTGGTCTGATCAGTCAATGGAGCCAATATGAGCTAGTGACAATTCGGAGTTATATATTAGGACATCATTGGAAGAGAGGAAATCAAACTGTTGGCTTGGTAATTTATACCCTATACTTCTGTAGGGCACAGCCAGTTGTGGTTTTGAGAGACACTTCCCATTGTTGAGTGATGGAAATATGTGAAAACATGTATCCAGCATCCAGCATCCAGCATCAATCCATTTTTCCTCTCCTAGTCAAGTTTATTTTGAAGCAAATTCCAGACATTGCATGATTTTGTCACTTAATCTGACACACACACACATACTTTTTTCTTTTAAATCAAATTAATAGCTCTACTTTAATTCTTTGGGTGCTTTGGAATTTTTTGTCTTTAAAAAATTCTATTTTTATTTTCACATATTCATGCATTAAGTATTTACTGAGACCTGCTCTGTGCCAGGTACCATGCTAGGCTGGCTTTGAAAGATGAAAAGAACAGAATGTCTGCACTCAAGGAAGCACAGTTTAATGAGAGGCTAACACAGATAGTTATTACACTGTATAAAAATACTGTGCTAGAGGTAAGCTCAGGATGGACCATCTAACTCAAGCTCGGGTCTGCAGTCTCTGGAAGTCACCTGTCGCTCTGATCCTTTAGCAGTTAACGTTGTAGGTATAGTATAAATGGTGCGGTCATCTTCCCCACACAGTATAAAGTAGATCTTATTATTCTGCCCTTAATTTCAGGCTTTTATGGTATCCTTAATGAGATTTTTCCCAATTTTATTCATTTATTTTGAGAGAGAATGTGTGCACCCTCACCAATGAGGCGAGGAGGGGCAGAGAGGGAGGGATAGAATCCCAAGCAGGCTCCTCCCTGTCAGCACAGAGCCCGAGGGGAGGCTTGAACCCATAAACAGCAAGATCATGACCTGAGCAGAAATCAAAAGTCAGACAATCAACCAACCGAGCCACCCAGACACCCTGTGATTTTTTTTTTTTTTTTTTATAGTCTTACTGGTTGGTCAAGATATGACTTTTACATTCAGATCATACTTGTTTACTTCACTGTGTATAGCTCTTCCTGAGAGAAATATGACCATATTTCAAACACCACAGACTTTCATGTTTCCGCTGCCTGCAAGCTGAATTTTCAACTGTAATTGCTAGAATTTGTCTTTATCGTAGTACTAACTTTCTAAAGTAGAAATCAGCACAAAATTAATATGAGAAAAAGACAACTTTTTTTCTGGCACTCAAAACTAATGGCCTCGAGGGGCAATTAAAAAAAATGCATGAAAGCATTTTTCAAGAGTGTAAGAGCAATGGTAGCTATTGCTTATATCTAGTGAAAATGAGTTGCAGATCCAGCGATGCCTTCTAGAAATATAATTTTTACTTGGTATTGTTTTAAAACAAGACATCATTACTCCCCCTATATGATGCAATATTAACCAAATGGCTTAAGTACCATGCTTAATTATCTTCTTTCACTTTCTGAGGATCTGATTTGAAACAAAGCACACAGCAGAAATAAAAGAGAAGAAGAAAAAATACCGCAATAGCAATTAAGAGCATAGAATTAGAGCTGGTGCTAGGAAGTATGACTCAACCTGTAGGATTACAGAAATCTTGAAACATTAATTCCATGGCTCCACCTACTAGAGGAATCATATCTTCTCTTTGCCCCTTCAGAGATCTAATGAAGAAATACTCATTTTGAGTGGTTAACTAGCAACAGAGCCAGGAAATATTTTCACAGAAGGTAGGTTTTACAATGATTTTAGAAGGTCGAGGTTCAGGGCACCTAGGTGGCTTAATCAGTTGAGCATCTGACTTGATCTCAGGTCAGGTCATGATCCCAGGGTCATGGGATCGATCCCCACATTGGGCTTCATGCTGAGCATGGAGCCTGCTTGAGATTCTCTCTCCCTCTGCTCCTCCCCTGCTTGCGTGCATGCATATATGCTCTCTTTCTCTCTCATAAAATTTTGTTTAAAAGGTAGAGGTTCATATAATTTTATATGATTAAAACTTAGCTATGTCCAAGGATCCTAATAGACAGAAAAAGTAGTACTCAAAAGAATTAAGACTTGATTCTCGGGTTGTCTGAATCCAGGTTCAATGTCTACTACTATATATATATATATATATACTACCATTTCCCCAGTCTGGGCACTGTGCTAGGCTCTAGAGGTAATGTTAGGAATAACGTCATCTTGGCTTTGAAGACCTGACAGTTTAGTGAGAAAGACAGAAGTCACAAACAGTGGGGTACAACCAGAGAAGTGCACATCACTGGGATGGATCAAATGCTACAGGAGCTCCTTTAAATGAGTAGATAAGGCAACATCACTTCTTAGGCTGTGGCAGTCAAGGGGGTCAGGGAGTCTTCACAGGAGACAGAGCACTTAGCTAGGTCTTTGAGAATGAAGAGTTTTTCTGGCTCTGGGATTCAGAGAGAGGATGATTCTAGACAGAAATAGCATATTTGAATGCATAGCATCATACACTGGGTGGGCCGTGAGATGACCCCAAGATTCTAACTATGGTGAACAGGGAACGAGAAAAGGAGCAAGTGTAAGAAAGGAAGAGAAGAACAGGATATAACAAGTTTAGTCTGGAGCTTGTTGAATTTTAAGTGTGTGTGGGTATTCCAAGTAGAAACGTCCAGGCAGTAGTTGAATGTATAATTTCAATCTGGAGCTTTCAAGAGTGTTGGTAAGCAGAAATATAGATCTTGGCGTCACTTGTGAGTGATGGTTCAACCAGTGGAGATGGTCGAGATCACCCACGGGGACGTTTAATTCAAGAGGAGCAGATAATGGAGGATGGCACTCTGGAGCACCAACAGAGGCTAGCAGTTCTGTGGTGGTATAAGCAGTTTATCTGCTTTGTGGGTTAAATGGGCTGTGACCAGTTGGCCCAATACCCACTCCACCATTTTTAAACATTTATTTAATTTTTTGAGAGACAGAGAAAGACCGAGCATGAACGGGGAGGGGCAGAAAGAGAGGGAGTCACAGATTCTGATATGTCAGCACAGAGCCCGATGTGGGGCTCAAACTCATTGTGAGATCATGACCTGAGCCACAGTGGGACGCTTAACCGACTGAGCCACCCAGGTGCCCCGCCCACTCCACCATCTATAAAACTTTCTATGTAAAAGTGCAGAGTAAGTTCAAACAACTTACAGAAGTATTTGGAGCCACAAACTGTAAGTTAGACTTCCTTTTACTTGTCCTAAATATATCATTTTAACCTGTGGCTCCAATGTACTCGAACTTGGAAACCAATTCCAAGTGTAACATGTCCACACACACGGTGTTTCTATTGCACTGAAAATATTGTAAGCCATACTTTATATGTCAAGTCTACTGGATTCATTTTTTAATATATATTTTAGAGAGAGAGAGAGACCAGGGTAGAAGGGCAGAGGGAGACAGAGAGAGAGAGGGAGGGAGGGAAGGAGGGAGATTGAGACAGGGGGATAGGGAGGGAGGGAGGTAGAGAGAGAGAGAGAGAGAATGAGAGAGAGAGAGAGAGAGAGAGAAAGACTCTTAAGCAGGCTCCACACTTAGTGCAGAGCCTAGCTTAAGGCTCAATCCCATGACCCTGGGATCATGACCTGAGCTGAAATCAAGAGTTGGACACTCAATCAACTGAGCCACCCAGGCACCCCTAGTTGATTCATTTGTAACTAAAGGATGATGACATCCAACCTTTGCCATTAAAATAGATCAACTGTGAGTGACTGTCATTGCCTGGCAGGATGCGAATTGTTCTTTCTTCCCCTCTGCCATGATGATTGGCACCAGAGAAGATTTGTGGGCGTGGTGAGTTTTTAACTCAAGTAGGACCATTTCAGGAGCTAATGTTGGTGTCAAAGGAGCAATTGCTTGCAGCTCCAGGGATAAGGGATATTGATGTGGCGAGGCTCTCAATTCTACATTAGTATTCTATAATTACATTATTATTCTATAATTCCATATTATTATTCTATAATTCTTTGTCTTGTGAATACTTGTGAGGTGATTTTCTTTTTGTTTCAAGTCCACTTGAAAGAGTTAAACTCTCTGCTGCTCCTCAGTATGTTTAATACATGTGACTATAATTAGAGACAAAAATATAATTACTATTTGGCACATCCTGACTATGCACAGTATCCTTGATTTTATTCAGAATGCACACAAGGAGGGAGCTGCCTCATTCTGTAAGAGCAGCTTTGTGTCTTCCCAAATCTTCTTCATAATAGCAACGGTAACGTTACAGAACCTTTAAACCCTCTGAGGAAAGCACTTTTTCAAAAACTTAGTTTTGGTCTTGCTGTGGGGTGGGTGGGGGGATGTACTTAAGCACTGGCCTGTTCCTGCAGCTGAGGATAAACCAGGGACAGGAGAGCTGAATGCCTGGGGAAGAGGGAAAGGAAGTGAGTCTCGACTCTGTGCCTAACCTTGGGTATTGTGAGTACTCTCTACCTCTTCAAGGCCCACCAGTCCAGCTGCCAACTACCCGCACCGATATTTATTTGCCTCCTTGACAGGCCGGAAGTGCACGAGAATCATCACACCCCTGGGAACAGCTTCAACCAGTGATCGACAGGAGTTGGTGGGTAGATATCCGGCTCTTGTCCGTTGGTTTGGACAGCTGACATGTATTCCTGACGCTGGTGCTCCCGCCAGGATCACGCTCCCGTCACTCACAGCGGTAGCTGGCCTGACAATACTCTCTTTATTGGCCACCTTCTGTGCTTGTCTCACTTTTCCACCCCACTCCTGGTGTTTGCCTTCACTTCCCAAATAAGCCCTTGCACTGGAATCTTTGTCTCTGGATTTGCTTCTGTGGAAAGCTAAAAATGAACATGTCACCTTGTCTTTTAGGGCCAAGGTTTCAGGCATCTGGCACAAACACCCTCACATCTCCAAGGCGAGCACTGGGAACAAGGAATCAAAGTGAAGGCATTAGCTAGGTGCTCCAGAGTGGCGTGCCTGTCACAGAGCACCAAGCAGGGCACTTGAAAGACTGTGCTTCGAGGGGCACTGCCTACCCTTGATTTCTTTCTCTGTGCTTGATACTAACTAGCCTTACTCTGTTCTCTAGATTCCTGTCACGTTCGGGCCTTGCCTCTCTGAGGTGGCGCCATGTAATCTTAGTAGAACATCGAGTCCACCCAAGCTCTTGAGTTAATGCTTCCAGAAGGCTCTTTGGTTTTTTTTCTAGAGCTAACTACCTTACTTCATCTGCCCGGCCACCTTGTCCTTTCTCCTAGGACCAGTCATATAATCCCCTATTCCAACCACCTAACCCTGTAGGAGCTACCAGATCCAGCAGCCAAACTGAAGGACATGTGCTCACCATCCTCTCCCCTAGACATAGCTGCTCCAAGAGTGAATGTGACATGCAAACTGGAAGTAAGAGTGGACTCACTGGAACTTGCTAATAGAACGTAGGCTAAACGCTCCAGGAGGAGTCGAGGTCAAAGAAGGATCCTTTGTGGGTTTTTGTGGCTGACGTCACACTGAAAACGTGGCAATCAGCCTTGCTTCCTCCCTCCACTCGCTCGTGCCCTTGCCAGCACCGTGACTGAGGTCTTGCCTCCACTCCTGGGCCACCTGAACCACCTCTCTCCTAGGAAGTCACTAGAGCTTCTTCCTAAAATGCAGACCTGACCTTGTCAGTCTTGCACCAAGAGCCCTTCTGAGAATTCCCAGTGTCGTCAGGAAATCATTCAGGTCTTTATGAGGTTTTCAAAACCGATGAGGGCCTGCTGCCTTGCTCTCCAGCCCTCTCTGTCCACTCGTCCCCTTGCACACCACACCCTGCACTCCCACGGTTGCTGAATGTGCCACATTCATATTCACCTCTGGGCCTTTGCATGTACCATGGTTCCTTCCTTATGGAATCCTCCATCTTCTTCCCTCTGCCTCCTCCTCTGTGACCTGTCTCTTACTGGTCCCTTAGGACTGAGCCCAAGTATCACTTTTCTGGAAGACTTCCCAGACTCCCGCCCACCTCAATAAGAGCACCTGTATTTTACTATGATGACACTTCAACCATCTTCTACCTGCTTAGTCGTAGGAGAGCTTGAGCTGTGTACCTGGAGTTTGAAGGGGTAAAGAAGCTGATATCTAACTTTTCCTGGAAAAGTTCCAAAGTGAGAGATGGGAAGGGCCCATTTTCCAGGGTTTGGGTGGGACAGAGGAGCAGGCTTTCCCCTGGGCCAAGTGGACTTTCAGAAGGTTATTTGATGGAGTCCCAGCCCAAAGGCCCTGCTCACTCAGCAGGGTGAGGAGACAAAATAAAGAGTCTACCATTTATCATTTGAATGGAGGTGAGGTCAGTTACAAGCAGTCAACCAATTACTGCATATCTAGTGCCAGAGAGCAAGGTGGTCAGACACGCATACAGGGGGCTCTGAAAACGCCACACGCAGGAAAAGGAAAGCTTTTCCCCAAGGCCAGAAAAGTTAGGTAACTTGCCCAAGATTTCATAGCTAGGAATGACAAAGCTGTGATATGATCCTGACTCCACAGGATGGGGGGCAGTGTGTGACCGGGTGCGGGTGGCTGTGAGAGACTTCACAGCAGAATGAAGACGGGTGAGATATCAAGATTTCCTGTTAAGGAGGCAGAGAACAAAAAGCGTGGGTGTAATATCCCTTACTAGCGTTTCAAAACCTACTTACCTCCTTTGAGTCTCTGATCCTGTCAGAAGAGTGTCCTGCTTTGAAGATTTTCTTTGGAAAAGCAAGCTCCCCCCGCCCCACCCCACCCCACACTGTTTCAATAAATGTATGGAAACAAAACCTCCAGCAAGTCCGAAGTGGGGTTAGTGAGTGGGGCTTGGAGAAGCCCTAACATCTATTGCATTGCTCGCCTCGTCCCCAGAACTGCCGGACCGGGGTTCGCCGCAGGGCTGAAGCGGTGCCCGGGCTGGCGCTCAGACGGAAACAGCTGGAATGCACCCCCGTCTCCGCGCAGGGCGCAGCCAGGAGCGGGCGGACCCCGCTCGCCGACGTGCCCCCCGCCGATCCCAACGCCCCGTCTTCCGCCCGCCCGCCTGCTCCCTTGACAGTAACGGGGCTGGGGCGGGGTGGAGGGGCGAGTGTGATTTAGGGAAAGCGCTGGGAAGCCGGGCGGAGTTTCGCTCCCGGCGTGGCCGCGGGCGGAGCGCGCGCGGGGGGGACAGCGGCTCGGAAGCCGGGCGGAGTTGCCGCGCCGGCGTGGGAGCGGGCGGGCCCGCGGGGCGCCTCAAAGCCAGGGGGCGAGCGCGCGCCGGGGACAGCGCCTGGGGAGCCCCGCCGAGTTGCGTTCCCGCAGGGGCGGCCGGCCGGCCGGGAGCGGGCGCGCGTCACCGCCGCCGGAGCCCGAGCCCGAGCGGGAGCCCGAGCGGGAGCCCGAGCCGGGGCCGCGGCGCCGCCCGGGAGGCGGAGGCGCCCGCTCGCTCGCTCCGGGCGGGCGCCGCGCCGGCGAAGTGCGGCTGGCGGCCCCGCGCGCTCCGCTCCCGGCGGGCGTGGGCGCGGGCGCGGGCGCGGGGGCTGCCGCGGGATGGGCCCGCGCGGCGCGCTGCTCTGCCTGCTCCCCCTCGTGCGGGCCGCCGAGCGCCCCGAGGGCCGGGCCGACGAGCCTGGCCTGGAGGCGGCCCTGGCCATGCCCAACGCCTCGCACTTCTTCTGGAGCAACTACACCTTCTCCGACTGGCAGAACTTTGTGGGCCGGAGGCGCTACGGGGCTGAGTCCCAGAACCCCACGGTGAAAGCCCTGCTCATCGTGGCTTACTCCTTCATCATTGTCTTCTCGCTCTTCGGCAACGTGCTGGTGTGTCATGTCATCTTCAAGAACCAGCGAATGCACTCGGCCACCAGCCTCTTCATCGTCAACCTGGCGGTCGCCGACATCATGATCACGCTGCTCAACACGCCCTTCACCTTGGTGAGGCCCCGGCCCCCGGCCTGCCGTGGCGGGCTCGGCTCTCCTTCCCCCCCTCCAACCGCCCCCTCGCCCTGCCCTCCGCTCCCCTCCCGCCCCCACCCCCACCCCACCAAGGCCCCTCGCCTCGGTCCGCGGAGTTCTCCTCCTCCACTCTCCCTGGGTCCCTTTCCAGCTCCTTCCCCTCTGCCCTCTTCGCTCACCTCTCCACTCTCTCCAGTTCGTAGACTTTTTGTGTCTTCTTCTTTTTCCCCCTCTCTGTGACTGTCGTTATGTCTGTTCCTCCGTCTGGGGGTCTATACTCCTCTTTCCCTCCCTCCCTTCTGTCCTTCTTCCTTCTCTCTTTCTCTTCCCTTCGCTGTCTCTGTCTCATCGCCTTTGAGCACGAGCTTCTGCAGCTGGGGGCGGTGGGGCCCATGATTGGAGTGTCTGCCGTCCACCGGGAGCAAATGACCATTTACGACTTCATGGCCGTGCACGTGGGCCTGTTGGATAATCAAGCAGTAAATCGAAGCCTCTGTAAATGTTGGCAGAGATTGTTAGGTCACCCGCCCCCGCCCCCCGAAATCCAGTCCATTAAATGCCGCCCCCACCCTAGGAGACTGCTTTGTGCCACGGCTGGTATATCAATTGCTAATCGTTAGTGGAAACGTAAGTGCGTTTTCCTAGACCACTTACTTAAATTGTGTTTCTCTTTTGTGGTTTGATAGTGAGGCTGTGTAGGCAGTGTGTGTTGGGGAAGACATGAGAATGAGGTGGGCTTGGAGCCCAGGAAGAGGCTGGGGGCACTTGCACTCGGTGGCAGATATGGCTCCCAAGCCCTGGCTGCTCAGCATTTAGTGGTGTCATTTCTGTCCCTCTGTGACTTGGGAGCGTGGTGCTCATGGTGGTTTGGGACTGTGAGGGCTATGACTGAGCAATCTAGTGACAGTGATCCTTTATGTTTCTGCAGCATGAGTGTTATGTTTTTTTCACTTTATGGAATAACCTTATTGTTATCTGAGTTATTAACAAAGCAGTGTCTGTTAGTACCTCGCTCTCTGTCTGTCTCTCTCTCTCACATATACACACTCAACCAGAAATAATAGACAAGCCAAAAGAAGAGGGTGAACTCCCACAAATCCATCCACCTATGTGCAAGTCCTTTCAAACCTCACATTTTAAAACTGCATTCTACCTTTGTCCTCACTTATGAGAATATTCCCTTTTGCAGATGAGGAAACTAAGGCACGGAGAAGTTCAATCCCCTGTCCAGGGTCACTTAGCTACGAGTGGGCAGAGCCAGGATGAGAATGACTCAAGTCACGGGTCTGTCTACTAAGCCACCAGCCCTTGGGGTGGCGGGTGAGGAGGGCTCTTGGACCACGCTAAGCTTCCACTGTTCCGAAGCATGGATTTTTCCTGCTCTCCTGTCAGTTGATTTCTAACTGATTCATGGCTTCTCAGAATCCTCGAGCCGAGGACAAAAGGGCTTCCAAATACCATGCCCCCATTCTCCCCGCCCCCCACCCCCCAGCCCCAACCCACCACCACCTGTTACCTTGCAGCATGAGATGGTGTACCTCTGGCTCCCCCTGGCTGCCCCTGCCCTTGGGTTCTGTGCGCGCCAGGGCTGGGCTGATACACCCAGGGTGAGCGCTGGCCCCTGTGCTGCTGCCCAGAGCACTACACAAAATTAAATCTTCTGCCGGCACAGGAGGCTGGGGGATTGGGGAGAGAAGCCATGAGCCCCAGGCTAGGCTGTGGCCGGGGCCTGACAAGTCCTGCCTTAGGTGGTCTCCTGCAAGAGAAGAAGTATCAGGGTCCTGAGAACCCAGCCCTTCTCTAAGCACGCTTGGCCTTGAACCTGACCCGTATAACTACCCCAGTCTAAATTCCTGTAAGAGCTTA